GCCCAAGCCCCCCATTCTTGCTACCCCTTTCTTTTTTTTACTCACTGCAGGCTGGGGCACAGAGAGCTGAAGTGAAAGACAAGGAGGGGATGGAGGTGGCAAGCCGCTTAACCACATACCCCCTTTGCCCAAGATCCTAGTCACTCCTGATCCCCTTCTGGAACCCATACCTTCCCTGATGTACTGAGGGATCTTGGTCTTTTGCAGCCACTGCCAGTATGAAGGGAGGGAAGAAATGGACCCTTTGATCTCTGGGAGGCAGAATGCAGTTTTTATTTCTCTGGGCCTCAACAGGGCCACAGCACCCCCACCCCTTCCACCAGCCCCTTCCCTTATCAGCCCTCCAACCTCCACCTGCCATTGCCCTACTTTGCCTTCCACCCCCCTCCCTGGTATCCCTCCAAACCCTTAGGTTTCACCTTCCCTTTGACCTCACCCATGACCCTCAGGACTCTGTGAGTCTTCTCTGTGACTTTGTTCATTGTCACCTCATCTGTGGGGATGGGCAAGGATAGCAATTCTTTCACCAGCTGAGAAGGAGATTGTGGACTCAGTCTTACCTTCCTGAGATACAGAATTCTCCCAGAGGGAGAGGCCAGTGTATTGAGGGAGGGCTGTGGACTGAGGCGAACGCTGAGCGGCACAGCTGGAAAGTCAGTGATGTGCCTCTCCTCGTGGGGAATGGGGGCAACTACTGCTGGGCCTGTTCCTGGGTGTCTGGTCTTACCTAAGGCAAAGGCTGAAAAGTCTGGGGAGGCCCATTCCTTCCAATGGGGCTCCATCTGGCTGGTGAGCTGAGCCAGACGGCCTGGCAAGTCATGGGCTGGGAGGCGACAAAAGATACAGGCCTGGGCAGCTGCCAGGAAAACCCCACCTAGTGCCAGTATCCACATGAAGCCTGCGGGGGACAGAGTAGGAGCTGGCTCACCTGGGCTAGAAAGGCCTCAGAGTGCAGTGTAATCAGGTTCCAGCCCTTTGCCTAAGAGATTTTTGAGTGTTCTGGAACAGTTGGAATTTCTAGAGTGTTCCAGAATAATGCCACTGTTCCATCCATGGCTGGGGTAGAGCTGGGGCCCAAGGAACTTGCAAGGTCCAGAAGAGAACATCTTTAGTAGGAGACAGAGAAAGCACAGCCTCTGTTGCAAGGGGGACAGTGGTCTGTACAAGTCTGTGGTTCAAAAAACACTTTTATTGTTCTTTTTGTAATATCAGTGATAATGAGTAACTCCCTCAGTGAAGAAATTATGCGTGTGTATCCTGTCCACTCAGGAACTCAGAGATTCCATCCATTCCCATATCCACCCCCACTCTCCCAAACTCTGCATCTCTTCTGTCTGTCCAGGGCAGCCTTGGGCCTTCCCCCAGCTATCTCCTAGCAACAGGCCCATGGTTGCTGAGGCAACAAAGCATTCCCTACAGGTCTCAGAGGCCTAGCAAGGCCCAGTGACTTCTTTTACCTCACAGGAAGATCCTAGTGACTCAAACACAAATAGGCCTCTCCTGCCTACATGGTGATTGCAGGCACGTAAACACACACACACACACACACACACACACACACACACACACACACACTCATACATACCTTATGATTAAACTAAATCTCAATCTACTCACACTCGAACCACAGATAAACCTGGGCCAGAACTGTTGCTGGGCAATGCCAAACATGCCTGGACATGCAGGGAACACAGAAGAACCATCACATAAACACGTAGTCAGCAACACAGATGGAAACCTGGATGCCAGCGACCCATGCATTAGTCAGACACACTGGCTGACACAAACACACACATGAAGGCCACAAAAAGGGCATGAAGGCCACTTCTCCCTGTAGCCAGCCCCACCTTCAAAGCAGGTTTAAAACAGTTGAGGTACCAGAGGAGCACTCCAGTGTCCTTGCTCCTACCTCCTATATGTCAACCTATGGAGGCCTTTCTGTCCCCCTCAGTAGGTGGCTTGAGACATATGAAAGAATGTTCCTTCCTGTGTCCCATAGTGTTCTGGCCTCTCTTTAGCCACACCAGGCCACCCAGCTCCAGTCCAGGAGACCCCACATTAAGGCAATCCAAAGTATCCTTTTCCCCCCAGACCTCAGTGTCCCTCCAGGGTTGTACCAGGTCAAGGCTAGGCAGAGAGACATGTTTTCCACTTTTCTAGATCTCTGAACCCTCAGCTTCAACAGAGACACTGGAAGCTTCAAGCAAGAATAAACCGAGAGAATCTTCACTGCCCTATCCCACCCCAGAATAAGCACCAGTCCAGACCCTCTGGTTCACTTGTGAGCCTTCAGTGAGCTCATGTTCTGGAATTCCAGCCCCAATCTGGGCTCCAGTCAGGCGCAGTAAGACCCCTGACCCTCATAGCTCCCACACTAGAGCTAGAAAGAGGCTTTGGGGGAGTCTTTACCCTCTCTAGCCGCCCCATTCACTCTCTTCTCCACAAGCAAACTCAGAGTCGCATCCTCAATGTCGTACGAAGCGCAGAGATCGCGAGTTGAGCAGGTCTTCAGGGTCAGGGAATACAGAGTCAAGGCGGAAGCCATGCTCCAGAGCCACCCGGAGAACCTCCTCCAGGAAGCTCGGTGTTCCCACCACCTCACGCCGCTCTCCTGGCCCTCCAGTCCACAACGGCTGCAGCCCCAGTCTCTCATACTCCACCTCAGGGAGTTCTGTGGGGTGGGGGGCCCACTCCAAATGAAAATGTGGGCCCCCCTCTGCCCTGTCCCCATCGGCCACACCAAAACGGGCCTTCATGGCAGCTAGACATTCTGGGTCAGTGCAGAAGAGGTTGGCTCGAAAGGTGTCCACCTGGACAGAGCTTAACTCATAGTGGTGTGGGCCCCTGCGAGCAGAGAAGTGCACCAGGCGGGGGCTGACGTCTACATCTGCGTGAAGCAGGGCAGCTGTGGGTGCGGGTGTCCCTCGAGAGGCCTCCAGTTCTCTCAGGGCATCCAGGAGAGGCCGGATCTGGTAGAAGTCAGCTTCTGCCCTGAGAAGTGCTGTTTCTCCATACCCAAGGGGCAGGTCCAGTCTGCCCAGTCGCAGGAAATTGAGGATGTGCCGGAAGGCCTTGCCATCCCGGTCGATGAAGTAGTGGCCACCTCCTTGGGGGTTGCCATTGGCAGACATAGGGGTGCCGGCTCTAAACATGGCCCCCAGCATGGAGTCTGGGAAGCGGGTCAGAGTCTCCAAAGTGGTGGAATATAGCGTGCCCCCCACATTCAGGGTCACGGGGCCCCCAAAGGAGGGGGGCGAAGAGGGCACAGGAGGAGGGGAAATTTTGGGGAGTATAGGAGACAAGGAAGGAGAAGGAAAGGCAGAACTTTCTGGGTATACGCGAGATTGGGCGCTATCCTTCAGATTTGCTGAGTTGGAGGCACAGACTGGAGTACAAATCAGCAAAGTTTGGAGCTCAGCCCACGTATTTTGGTGGTAGGGCAGGGATTCAGGACACAGAAATCCCCGAAAGATTGAGAGAACAAATGAAAAGAGCAGAGGGCAGTCAGAGAGGGAAGGAGAGCTTTCCGTTCAAACGTATCCAATTCTGGGTTTCCTTTCTGTGGTCTTCAGACAGTGGGTTTCCGGAATTCAACCAGCAGGTGACGGTGGCGAGCAGAGGCCTCACTCTGAGGGGCCCAGCTTCCAAGTTTCTAGGCAGATCGCTGTCACCGTAGGGGAGTCCACACAGGGCTGTAGGGGCCAGTGAGAGGCCCGGCCAGCCTCCAGGCACCCGCCCCGGGAGACGGACGAGGAGCTGATGGGAGCGGATGACTAGCCGCGCTGAATGTGCTGCGAGGCGACGAAGCGCACTCAGCTTGAGCTGGGAGTTGTCAGAGGGTTCTGATGGAAGAAGCCAGGAGTCTCGGAACTCACAGCCTTCTCTGGATGTTGCCGTAGCACGCAGAGGTCCTCTCCACCCCCAGGAAGTGTCCAACCCGCAGCGGCCCTGGCCCTTTAAGGGGCAGCCCCGCCCCTTGGCGCCCCGCCCCTGCCCCGTGGGGCTGGAGCGGCCGGGTGGAGGTGGGAGCCGGGAGTCACCCGCTGGAGGGACGGGGCGGACTGGCTGGACGAGCGGACGAGAGCTGGAGAGAGGTGACTCATGGGCGACTTCCCGGATGTGGCCACGACGGTCCCACGATCCTCCAGGTGTGCCAGACCTCACGTCGGCGACCTAATTCTGCCACTCTGAGAAAGCCGAGGCGGTCGCCGTCGCGGGCCAGGGGAGCGGTTCCTTCCCAGTGGCTCCCGCGGGGAATTCCCGAGGGGGCGGGTGCTGAGCCACTGCATTCCGGGGATGCCTCTCCGCAGGGGTGGCCC